GAAACTTGCGTATTATATACCTTTGAATTTGTGAATTACTATATAATTATGTAGTAATGGCATCAAATGTAAATTATATATAGTATTGAGACATACTTGTTGACAGTTCTACTACCTTTGTCTTTTTTTAATACGGGAATTAAAATTACTGAACATGTTAAGCTTCTGCTATTGTGCATATATACAGAAAAATAATAATTATTATAACAGATACTGTAGTGCTGCTGAATTGAGACAGTTTTTTTTTTATAATTTGTACATAGTCTTGATCACATCACATATCTTTAATACTGTTTTCAAATATATGTAAAAGATGGAGGTAACAAACACTTTTAAATGGTGATAAATCTCATAAATGTATATATATGTAGAAAGCAAATCTTGTACAGGGCAAAAATATGCACCCCTTGCAAACACCAAAGGGTTGGGGTGCAACGGTGAGTTAATACTCTAAACTTGTTAGGGAATCAATGTATTTTAAACAGTGAAATGTAAAGGGAACAAAAATAATATCCCTTACTCCATTATTTTTCTTCTTTTTCAGGGATCAGTTGTCCAAAGAACAAGAAATTTTATTGGTGTGGTCTAAATTAAAATTTTTCAGCACATTTTTTCCTAAAAGGTGGTTTTGATCACATTAATTTCTGAAGTCAGATTTTTGCCTTATAACAAACATTTAGATGACTCAAAATAGTAAATGTCAAAACCAGGCACCAAGACATACAGTGGAGCCTCATTTATCCGAACCCTTTGGTTCCTAGTCAATTTGTCCGAATATGTAAAGTGTCCGGATATCTGAATTACCAGTTAAACAAGACAAAATAACTTTTAAAAAATTTGTTCCGATGAAAAAATCGTCGGATACTGAAGCATCCGGATATCTGAAGGTCCACTGTTTTTCTATGTAAAAATTTGATTCCCCATTGTGGCCCCGCCCTATCCCCGGGGGTCATGATTTTTACAATTTATAATCTACACTCCCAAGGATGCTTCCACATAAGTTTCAGCTTTTCTGGCCCAGCGGTTCTTGAGAAGATTTTTAAAAGATTGTTCCTATATATTTCAATGTAAAACTTTGATTCCCCATTGTGGCCCCGCCCTATCCCCGGGGGTCATGATTTTAACAATTTAGAATCTACACTACCCCAGGATGCTTCCACATAAGTTTCAGCTTTTCTGGCCCAGTGGTTCTTGAGAAGAAGATTTTTTAATGACCCGACCCTTTTTTGTCTTTTCTTGATTGTCTCCCCTTGTGGGGGGACTTGGCCTTTCATTTTCACAATTTAAATTTCCCTTTACCTAAGGATGCTTTGTACCAAGTTTGGTTAAAATTGGCCCAGTGGTTCTTGAGAAGAAGTGGAAAATGTGAAAAGTTTACAGACGGACAGACGGACGGACAGACAGCTAGACAGACAGACGGACGACGGACAAAATGTGATCAGAAAAACTCACTTGAGCCTTCGGCTCAGGTGAGCTAATAAATTGTACTACAATGTACGTATTAAGATGTTTTTACACATGTGTTGAATACATGTATACGATTTCATTTGTAAGAAAAAATTATTTGATCTTTTCAAAGTGAGGAAAACAACTAAGCGGAACAAAATCACTTTCAAAAATAGTTGGCAAAGATGGCAAGTTATATGTACATCTACTGTGTTTAAATGATTACAGTTAAAACTCATATGTTCACAAAGTTTTATTTGCGTATATATATATTTTTTTTTACATGCAACTGACGCAAGGTTACTAGTTTGTACTGTACTAAATTCATCAGAAACAGTTTCTTTTTGTTGAATTATAATGCTAGAAAATTTTATATCAGAGACTCGATTGCAAAAGGCGGAGGGTCTTACCCTAATGGTGTTGGTCCAATATTTCTTGATGATGTTGGCTGCACAGGATCAGAGCGCTTTATTTCACAATGTTGGCACAGTGGTTGGAATAGACACAATTGTCATCACAGTGAGGATGCTGGGGTTTCTTGCAAGTTTAAGAAAAGCAGTATAGAGGGTAAGGAACACTGTGTAGATAACTTACTTTCCCAAAACAAAAATTATGTGATAAGCATTTGGTGATTTCTTATTTTTTCAATGCATTCACACAGGATGAATATTTTCAAAGTTAAATTGTGTCTCAATTGTTGTAATTTTCAAGTTTTATTTTACACGATACTTTTTGAGACTATACTTTATTAACTTATTTTCAAACAAAAATATATATGTAGTTTTAAAAAATAAAATTTTATTTTAAGGCTGCAGTACAATATTTCATTCGTCCACAAAATCCATACTACAGTACTTGTTAAATTGTTTTAATTTCACCTTTTAAGGCTGCGGAAATGCTGACATCTTGATAGTAATGGACGACAGTGGCAGTGTAGGGACAGATAATTTCATTAAAATGAAATCATTTGTGAAAGAAGTCGTCCGGGGTCTAGATGTCGAGCTATTTAGATTTAGTGTAATTACGTTCAGTGCAACTGTGACCAAAAAGTTTGGCTTTGCTGATTATGTTCGCCTCTCCGACATTTTATCTGCTGTGGACAGTATTGCTTTTCGATCTGGAGGCTCCACACAGACTGATGATGCTCTCAGATACGCTAGACAATCGATATTTAACGTCAAACGGCCTGAAGCTGCTAATATTGTTATTCTATGCACGGATGGAGAATCTACCGATCCGGATGAAACTATGGAACAAGCAGCTCAACTTCGCAGTCAAGAAGTGCGAATATTTGCAATTGGAGTAGGAAGTGGTCCAGATACAGTAAAACTTAACGCAATAGCTTCTTCTCCCAGTAGTGATCATGTGTTTCAAGTTTCTTCTTTCACAGCCCTACCACACATCTTGAATGCAGTGCAAAACCAAACGTGCAAAGGTATTTTTTTATTATGCTCTTTTTGAGTTAAAGCCAGCATATAGTAAGTTCTCTGGTTGAGATAATGAGCTAGTCAGCAAAGCAGTCTATCATAATGTCGAATGCTGACTGGCTTTTTCAATTTTTGTTGTTGTTTTGCGTTGTAAAAATTGTGTAAGCATTAGTTTCACACTGTTTACGGATTTTCCCGTTTGTCCGATCATGACAATAAACACACGGCGAAGGTGACCAATTGACTGGGGATGCTTACTCTTCCATGGTACCTGAATTCACCTCTTGTGTTTTAAGAGGTCCGTGTTTTCTTTGTTTCCAATCTGTATTGCTTCAATGGACTTTTCAGTGTGATTACCGTTTATTGTCTTCATATTTCATTACAAGATTCCTTAATTAAGAATTAGTTTTATTTTGCTTTTTAAACATTTTCAAAGATTACAAAAATACATTTCGAAAATAGCTAATTCATAGAATAAAAAGACTATACTTTACACAAAATTCCATTTTAGCGTCTGTCGATGGGGGATTTAGTGAATGGTCATCATGGACACAGTGTAGTAGGACTTGTGGTTCAGGAACGAAAACAAGAAGTCGTACTTGTACTAACCCAGTGCCAACAAACAGGGGTCGAAATTGCACAGGAGCATATGCGGAAATCGCAGATTGCACGATAGCTGGTTGCCCGGTCGATGGACATTGGAGTGGTTGGACAGCTTGGGGAGACTGCAGTGTATCATGCGGAGGCGGATCTCAACAGAAAAATAGATATTGTTCTAACCCAAGCCCGCAAAATGGAGGCCTTCCTTGTCTTGGAACAAATACAGACACACAGACATGCAATCCAAGTCCCTGTCCTATTCATGGTGGCTTCAGTTCATGAACAACACTTGAAAATTTGAGAAACTAAATTTTCGTAATGCACATAATTCCACTCTGTTAGAAAGATATGCTATGCTGGGTCTTTACTATGTTTTTTCCTTTCTGATGAATAAAGATCCCTCAGTATTAAGCTGTTTTGGGAGTATCATACATAACAGCACCATTCACTCTGGCATGCGTATGAACAAGTTTTGGTTGGTCCACAAATTCGATTCCGTAGATGTAAATCACGGCTAATGATACAAAACTGGCCGAGCCCCAGAACAAAATGTACATGAACTGTTCAGTCCAGGATTCTGTAATCAAAATAATATTTATTAATGCATTTATAATATCAATAGTGTGCATCTTCAGGGAAGGGAACAACTGCTCCATATCAGAATTATAATTTCTGCTGTCTGCAGGTAGAAAATAATGGGAATTTTCTTGATTGCCTTTGGATGGCATAAATGCACTTTAAGTATGTTGTGACAAATTTTTGTCAAAAATATAGAAGGTGAATATAGCATAAATAATCCAAATCAGAAAAAGTACATGACTGTACATTAATTGACAGTATTGAAATATACATGTATATTTTATAATGATAAACCGTTCCTACCATCTGGCAACAATATACTGATTAAACACATTCCCAGAGCAATCACAAATATCACAGGTACCTGAAGAAACAGAAATAGGGCGCTTAGACCAATATTATAGATATCTTCCTAGATAATTTTATCTAAAATAATACTAAAGTTCTTTAGCTGAAATAACAAACGTACACAATTATTTAAAACTAATATACAGTTTTCCTCAAAAAACATTCTTCTTTTCCAAAGCAGTTTAAAAGAATTTTCAATATTGCACTTGGAATGTTTGATGACTTACAGCATAAAACTTCCAATCTCTCTCTGCCTGCAGAGGAGAAGGTCGAGAAATTCCCTCATTTTTTCCACGACGTAGTTTCCAAGGATAAGGTCAATGGCATCCTGTAGCATAAAAAGAAAACTCAGTGAACAGCACAGTTATAAACCTTGCAAAGAAAATCACCTTAAAGGCCAAAGCGTGTGGAAATCGTGTACAAAGCGTGTGAGAACCGTGTAGAAAGCGTTTTGAGCCTTTCGTGTAAACCATGCAGCCTAACGTGCAAAGCGTTATCACAGTCTTAAACCGTTTAGCGTTTCGTGCAAACAATGTGTAGATTTTAACGTGTAAAACGTGCAGCGTTTGTGCAAACCGTGTAGCGTTCGTAAAATGTTCGTGCAGCGAGCGTGTGGGGTAGTAGCATGTATATCTGTATATAAAGCCTGAATATATTGAGCGTTCATTCGAGTTCCAGTTGAGAGACAAACAAGAATCATTCGTGTGCGAACATAACAGTGGTAAGTAAGTACATGCATCAATTCTGAAATAAAGTCAGCTTACTTGATTTGAACATATTTTATTGTAATATAATTACAAAGGGATTACAAGTATATACAAGTTCAAAGCCCTCTCCCTATACATATAAATTACACACTGATATTGTCACAGTTGCATGCTATATAAAGTAGCAGAATTTGCAAAAGTAAACAAATTGATGCATTTTGCACATATGTATAAATATATAAAGTTGATGTGTTTACAAGGGACACAACTCTGATGTGACTTGAACAGAAGACAAGCATGTTTTACAGCAAAGATTATTAATAAATAAAGGTTGTTGAAAATATCTGATGGCAAGAATTCAGAGGCTAACCATGAGAGGTTAGCCACCACATTGTGATAAAGCTTGTCGACCTGCCTACAAAGCAATAAAGGCATTTGTGTAGTGTGTTGCCTGAATAAGCCTAGCAGTGTGCACAGCAGTTGAAGGGCTGTCACTTTAAAAAATGTTGGGAATTGGAAATTTAAGATTGGCCAGCATTAGAAATAGCCTACCCGCTGCCATTTGCTTAATCATTTGTAATTATTTGATTTACTATTAAATCTTAACGTGATTATTAACCTAGATAAGGTTGGCCATTTATTTGTATATTTTGCAGGCCTTTGTAAGCAATCATTTGACAATCATTTATTAAGAAAAATTATATTATATTGGAAATCATCCCCCAAAACCTTGAATCGACAAGGTACGACCCCCGATTGCTATTATTATTCCGCTCGACACGTTACAAAATTTGGTGGCATCGTCGGGATTTAGGGTACTTAATTTTTCTTCATACTTTGTTTACCGTTTAGTAGTTACCAATAATCATATTTGTTTACAATGAGTAGTATGGATGACCTTACTAAAATCGAAAGAGAGCTAAGTAGACTTCAGGCAAGCTTTGATGAAGATAAAAGAAAGACCGCTAAAGATTCAGGTCTACCTGATAGCAGGCGGACAACCTTAGATGATGAATATTAAGAGGCAATGGGTGCGAAACCTAAATTAGTTGGGACGACCACTCTACCTACTGATATATCAGAAAGAAGAGAGCCTAAGAGCCGCATTAGCTTAGGTAGGTCAGATGACAAGCCTCTAGATAGGTTTTCCTTGACAAGTACGCCTTTTGTTAGAAATAGACAGGATGACCCTCTGTTTTCAAATATTACAACACGCAGACCTGATGTAAGGGCAAATGCTCATCAACATAAGGGTAATCATGTAAAGCCAGATATGTTTGATGGTACTACCTCATGGCTAGACTTCAAATCTCATTTTGATGTATGTGCTGAATTGAATGGTTGGACAACCTCGAGAAAGACATGCACTTAGCTGTTTCCCTACGAGGTCGGGCACAGGCTGTGCTGGGCAGTCTTCCAGAAGGAGAAAAATGTAACTTCAGGTTATTATCCCGGTCATTGGAAGAGCGATTTCTGCCACCTAACCAAACAGAGCTGTACAGGGCACAATTACGAGAAAGGAGACAGCGGGCTTCTGAAACATTCCAGAGCTTGGTATATGTACGCAGGCTGGCAAACCTCGCGTATCCTACTGCCCCGATAGATATCAGAGAAACCCTTGCGAAAGAGCAATTTATTGATGCATTGAAGGACAGCAACATGAGGATCCGCATCAAACAAGCCAGGCCAGTTGACCTTAATGATGCGATACGTCATGCTGTGGAGTTAGATGCATTTAATTCTGCTGAAAGACGTCTCCAAAAGAAGATAAAGGTTATTTGAGAGAGGCCAACCAGCCATTGGAATCAGACAAAGACACCGTAACCACGCTGTTGAAGGTAGTACGTGACATGCAAGAGGAAATGAAATCAATCAAGATGACAGTACAGAACTCAAAATCTACAAAGCGTACATCGTCAAACATAATTTGCAACTTTTGCAAGAAGAAGGGCCACATGAAGAAAGATTGTTACTCTTATCAAAATATGCAGAAGAAGTTAAGGTTAAAAGAGAAAGAAAAGTCCACCTCTTTTCCAAGACAAGGAAAGGGGGCAGACAAGGATGCAAGTAGAACTGGCATAAGTCGGAAGGCAGGGGAAGCCAGTGTATTTGTTGATATGCTGACTCATAAACGGTAGCAAAAGTGAAGTTTCTAATCGACACAGGGGCAACCGTTAGCATCATTTCACCATCAACATTGTATTCGGTGATGGGTGATACAAAGCCAGTTCTTGACAAGGTCAACCAGGACGTTCTTACGGCAGATGGTACTGCAATGAATGTAGAAGGTTGATCGCAATTTTTTCTTGTTGTCTGCCCTGACAATTAATCAAAAATTTACAGTAATTGATGTTGGCATTGATGGCATATTAGGGCTTATTTTCTTACTTCTAACAATTGTTCGCTTGATTTGCCAAATTCTTCTAGCTGAGAGGAAGCAAGCGGGTAAAATTGCCATTCGACGAGAAAATGGGTTGCTGTAGGGTAACCCAAGCTGCAAATATCACAATCCCTCCATGTAGTGAAATTATTGCCATGTGTGATGTTGTTGCACCTGTGTATGAGAAAGTGCCAAATTTGGGTGTTATTGAACCCTCGGATCGCTTTATAGAATCAGATCGGGGTTTGGTAGCCAGGACCTTGATCAGAGGTAGCAAAGTCACTCCAGTCAGACTTATGAATTTATCTACTGAAACAAAGAATTTGTATAGAGGGACTTTTGTTGCCACCCTGTCGGTTGTCGACAATGTGTATGAAAAGAGCAGCCACGAACAAGGTAGGAGAGCTGCCTTCTCATCTACAGGACTTGTATCAGCGGTCAGTCAAAGAATTGACCATAGTGGATGCCAAGGCAGTCAGAGGACTGTTAAGAAAGTATTCGAGTCTATTTGCTGCGACTGATGCTGACCTTGGTCAAACCAAGATGACGGAACATACTATCGATTCCTAGGATAGATGACTCCCTAGCCATGTTGACGACATCAGTTATCAGGGTGCCAAGTATTATTCCACGTTAGACTTAAATGCCGGGTATTGGCAAGTGGAAGTTGCAGAAAAAGATCGACCCAAGACTGCATTTGCAACCAGAAAAGGGCTTTATAGTTTTAAAGTTATGCCTTTGGGCTTTGTAACGCCCCAGTGACGTTTGAGCGTCTCATGGAGCTTGTGCTAAGAGGTCTGCAATGGCAGATATGCCTTGTATACCTTGACGACATCATTGTTATGGGCTAAACGGTACGCGATATGATTTCAAATCTTACACAAGTGTTTGATCGATTTTTAGCTGCTAGACTAAAGCTCAAACCTCGCAAATGCACTCTATTTTCAACAGAAGCAGAATATTTGGGACACGTTGTATCTGAAAAGGGGATTGCTACACACCCTGATAAAATTAAGTCCGTTCAGACGTGGCAGATACCTTCAAATGTATCAGAGTTACGATCATTTTTAGGATTCTGCAGTTATAATAGGCAATTTGTCAAAAGCTTTGCCAATATTGCCAAGCCATTGCATGATCTGACTAAAAAGGGTATTAATTTTACAAGGTCTGATGAATGCCAAGTATCCTTCGACAATCTTCGAAAACAGCTATCAACAACTCCTGTCTTGGCTCATCCAGATTTTAATGAAAGATTCATCCTTGATACTGATGCCAGTCAACATGCAATTGGTGCAGTATTGTCACAGATAAAAGATGGTGTTGAATGACCAATTGCCTTTGCCAGCAGAAGCCTTTCCAAATCCGAAAGGAAGTATTGTGTTACCCGAAAAGAGCTTCTGGCTGTTGTACACTTCATCAAGTATTTTAGACAATACCTATACGGCAGACAATTTACGGTAAGGACATACCGTAAATCCCTTAGATTGTTGATGAACTTTAAGGACCCCGAAGGGCAGCTTGCGAGGTGGATGAATGTTTTCTATGACTTCACAATAGAACATCGACCAGGTAGACTACAAGGTAATGCGGATGGTCTGAGTAGGTTGCCATGCAAGCAGTGTAAAGTTAGCCAAAATGAATCGACCTACCAAACCGTAAACAAACTTGAGGCCCAAGACAAGTTGATCCTAGAAAAGCTTTTGAAATGTCTTCAGGATGAAGATGAGGATATCAAAAAGGTAAAAGTTTGGCTCGAAAGGAGAAAGCAACCGAAGAATTATGAGATTGCGTCCGAATCTGTTGTTTTGAAATCAATTTGCTCTCAGTGGGACCGACTGGTCATTGAAAATGGATTATTGTATAGAAGGTGGTCAGATCTTACAACAAAGCAGGATACTTTGCAAGCCATTATCCCGAAGCAGGAGAGATGGAATGTCTTGAAACATTACTATGACTCAAGGACAGCGGGTCATCTGGGTATTCACAAGACACTCGCGAGAATCCGTCAATCTTACTACTGGCCAGGCCTACAAAGGGATGTTCATTCTTGTTCGTGACTGTGAAATGTGCACCAAGAGAAAAGCACCTAGACAAAACAGCAAGGCTCAAATGCATTTAGTCTTCACAGGGTTTCCAATGGAAAGACTGGCGACTGATCTTTTAGGTGAACTGCCAATGACATCAAATGGGAATAAATATATCCTTGTTGTGGCAGACTGCTTTACGAAGTGGACGGAAGCCTTT